CCAGAGCCAGACTCTCCACAAGAAGTGCTGGCTGTTGAGCATCCAGAAGCATGTCAGTAGATATGCATGTATTTCATACTATATCAGGGGCAAGAAGTACAGATACAATTTAATCACCTGCTGAATGAAGAAACATATAATTTTGATGCTAATATGTACTCTATAGGATAAAAGGCAAACCTGAGGCACAGACGTGAAGAAGAGCTGTGGACTCTTACGCCTACTGTAGTTGATGAAATTGGTTGTGTCTCTCATTGCACTGAATTCAAAGAAATGCTCAAATACTGTGCCGTCTGGTGGAGTCTCAACTTTACAATGGCTCTTATGTAGAGCCTCCCGTGCAAAAAGATCAAAATGTGGCCAGTGTCTACAATGAGAACAGGCATATTCTTTTATAATCACTATAAACAAAACAAGGATTATTGGAATATGGAGCAGGAACATACTATTTCAGTCTTTCACTTCAAAATATCTCCTTTAAGTCAAGGGGTCCTATCTTGCACCCAGTGCAATTGACTTTGTACTCCGACACATGTATCATTCCTATTTTGCACCCAACGCACAGCGGACTTTTCCCTCCACAGACGCATGTCGGTAAATTAGGGAATGAACTTGTGCTCCTGGGGGCGGTTAAGCGAAAAGAGGACGTGTGTTCCAAAGCAAATGTTTTTTTGTTTTTTTGTTTGTTTTTTCGCACAAAAAGTATTCTTGTCGCTTGATAAACTTGATAAAAGTTGAGCCACGGTAGTCACTTGGGATATTTAAACATTTTCTTCATTGACTTTCTGGGCCGTCAAGAGCCAGTCCCTTAGGCAGCCAATGTGGTTGTGAGACAGCTCTCAAATTTAATCAAAAATATCTTCATTTGTGTTCCGAAGACGAACGAAGGTCTTACGGGGTTGGTACAGCATGGGGGTGAGTAATTAATGACTTAATTTTCATTTTTGGGTGAACTAACCCTTTAAGGACGCATACTTGACCATAATGTAACGTGTGCACAACTAGCATACACTTCGCTTCTCTGATAAACAGATGCAGCAGTTCCCATTTTTGCAACCCATACATAATTACAAGGAAAAATATTACCACACGAGGGTAATCATTGTGGTGTCCATGAAGATGTGAAAAATAGGCATAAATCTACCTTACACATTTACCCAAATTATTATACGCCTGTTTAACCAAAGCTAATTTGGGTGGGTTTCTCCCATCCCCATACAATGTCACTTCTCTGTCTTTTACGGCCCTGACGAGAATGTCGGTCTCCTCGGCGGTGAACCGCTCCTGGCGTGCGCCTGGCAAATCCACCATTATAATAGCAATCCGCCATGGAACAAGCGTGCCTGCTTTTAAAGGGAATGTGAGATGACTCTCTGATTGGTTTATTTCACGTTAGGCCCAAACCACACCTATGAGTAATGTAGCTACATCAGACCAACCCATTTTAGATTTGCGTCCGAGACCTACCCACAAAGTTACTTGCGTTTCACATTTGATACTTGAGTTTCAGATTGTTAAAATAGGGCCCAATGTGTTACTTGACTTTTCTTTGTAGCCTAATTATTTGTGAAATTTTCAAAGTAAATCCTACACCATTTCAGTGTATATCATAACTAGAATTTAGTATCTTCACTCATGAATTACATGTATACCTAGGGTTCAAATGTCCTCCAAATCCCCAAATGTAAGCTACAATGAAGAGGTTTCTTGCTTGCAAGCCCCATTGAGTTGAGGGAGCCATGGCATCACTGCACGGTGGCTGGACAACTTGTGCATTATCTAGTGAACAGAGAATGTGAATGGTACATTTATATGCATTGCTAACAAAAATTATATGTGATGATCAGTGTCTTAATCAAGTAAACGTTTCAATAGGTCAAACAATAAAGGCTGTTCCTTCAACTATATAGACACTATAGGAAATTGTCTCTTAAAAACACTTTTCTTACTCACTCGTTAAATTAATTTGATTTTGACAATTGACCCTTCGCTAAGCCACGCCCGAAAACCGCCACTGGCCAATCGTGTCTTAGCAACCGTAACTATGCGCGGGAGGTCTGGCAAGCTTTCGAACGAGGGAAACATGCTGAAGCATTGTGCGTATGGATTGTGCAAATCTGATACCGGTATACCAAGAGTTAGGACGGGGGAGAGGAGTTGTTTTCCTTCCAGAAAATCTAAAAGCCAAGGGGAGAAATCATGGGCGTGATCAAGCAGTGTGGGAGACCCATTCACACGCAACTACCGGTAAATGTCGACATGATTAACAAAAAAACCTACTGCTTGGAAATATTGACGGTTCTTTGGTCATAATGATATAACGTAAAACAAGACGATTAAAGACAAGACAAAGGCTCACTGACAAACTTTTAAATATAGGCTATTTCAGCATTTTGTTAATCGATGTCCTACAACCCGTGACTAACTTTAACCCAATCCGATCGCGGCTCTCCTGGAATTAGTGTTATTCCACAAGATTTATGGATAAGCTGTTTGATTTATAATTATTAGCATTTTTTTCACATACCCTGCTGTGCATGAACATAGCTGTTCCTCAATTTGTGTAGTTCTCATTTGAATGGTCAGCATGTGAGGCGGTTGCTGCTTGCGCTGTGACTATAGGCTTTAGCTTCAAATTTTAAGAAATTATTCTCTAGTCGGTTGCAAATTATGTTGTGAATATATCCCGCGAATGGATTACTGCAGTCCCTTTTGTCTTGCTCTCTCAGATATTTCACTTGTTCGCTGAAAATTACTAATTATCTCATTGGGAATGTCTGACACCGGGTGCATCCACACTAGATGTGCTAGCCGCGAAAGCTTGACAGGCGTAGCAACAGTAACTAGGGAGGGCGGGGCTTAGCGAAGAGTCAATTTAAAAGCAAAAAAAAAGGTTCCAAATATGTTTTAATTTGATCTTCCTATAACAAAAATAAGGTTAAAATCTGTTCGTTTTAATAAAAATCAACCCCCTGCTAAGTGTCCAAAGCTGAAGAATCAGCCATGATGCATTTATTTGTACAACTGATGAGATGAAATTGTGTGTGGAATTTTACCTGTTGTTTCTGATTTCCTTGAAGTGTATTTCAAGTCTTCTGATTTTCCAGAATGCTCCAAAAGTACACGAAGAATCTTAACAAAGGACATTATTTCCTGCAAACCATCAGTCATCCTAGATGAATGTCTGGCTTCACATCCATCACTGGCCAGCGCTGGAGAAAGTGCTTTGTTTTTGAGAAACTCTAGTGTGTCAGAGAAAAGGTCTTCAGCAAGGTGACTCCACATTTCCAGAGTAATCTGGTCCATATTATACTCACTAGAGAGCACATCCATCTCACACTTCCACACAGATCTCCACAGGTTCTCTCCAGAAACATATACCAGACTACAGTGTGTCACAACAGAGGGGGTTGAATCACCAAGGTTTGTGACCTCAGCTAGTATTTTCAGTTTTGATGGCTCAATTTTCTCTCCTGATGAAAGGTAAAGATACGGATGTTCAAGATCGCAAAGAGTAGTCAAAGAGTCCAACCAAGCAGGTCTGCCAAATGGATCGCCATCCAACACAATCCATTTCAATCGCCGTGTTTGCAATGTTTTCTTTCTTTTGAAAAGGTCGATAGGCAATGGCTGCTCAGAGTGTCTTAATGCTTTAGTGAAAGCTCCATCATACCAGGAGTTGTCCATGCCAAAATAACCACCAAAAAACTGTTTGTGGGACAAGGTATTGGGGAATATGACCTCAGTGCTCACAGAGGTCCAACATGACTTAGACAAATGATGATATATGTCTTTAAGATCTCCTTTAGGATCACTGTTAGATTCAACCTCCAGATCCTTGGAAAGTTTTTGAAGTGCACTTACAAGGGCTTGATACAAAGTTGTTTTGCCACTACCTGCTGGTCCAACAAGCACTACAACATTGGAGAGCTTCAGAGCTTGATGCAGGTTAAATACATTGTGAAGCATTTGTGTGTCTGCATAAAATCCTTGTTTATGCAACTCCTCTTTCACTGCATTTCTAAGCACACTTTGTTCCCCTTCATCAATGAACTGTTGTAGACTTGGAATGGACCTCACTTTTGGAAAGATTGCCTCAAATACGGTATAAAACTGTGATGCTCTCTTTGGATCTGACACAGTATACTGCATGACTGACAGAACTCCTTTGATTGCTGCTTGCTCCTCTAAACTCACATGCACTGTTTCAAGATTTGTATTTGTAGATCCGGTTTCAAATGTACCTTCATCACTTTCTTTCAAATGATGAGAGACATGGAAATGTGCTCCTGAGGCAACAATCACATTTTTAAAAAGGACAAGCCAAGAGGTCTGATTTCCACTGACAAAATCAGGGAGGCAATGGGAATCCTTAGCCAGGCTAAAGAGAGAGTCCAGTCGGCGACTTATGGAAGCTGCTTCAGAGAATCCGAATGACACCAACATCACTTCTGCAATGATTCTGTAGTGTGGCTGCATCATTGCAACAGGCCTCATTGCTGCTCTCAAATTTTCTGGTATCTCAGTTGAGTAGCCATTCGCTGAGATTGTGATACATCCATAAGTTAGCTTGGCCCAAATCATTTTTCCAGCAATGTGACATTCCACCTCACTCACTGTACTGTTGAACTTTTTGATTGATTCTCCACTGCTACACTTTCCAACAGTGGAGGACAACTCATGTCCTTTCTCTTGTGCTTGTCTTTGAACTGCTGATAAATGTTGATGAATTTCGGTCAAATGTTGTCCCAGCTCAGACAATGTCCCTTGTCCCAACATATCCACAGAATCAAGGATGAGCCAAGCCCCAGTTTGAAAAGCACCTAGAAGCATTTGGAAAACAACTGAGGAACCAGTGCTTGAACAACACTTCAAGATGACCACTTGTCGTCCCAAAGCATAACCCAATTGCACAGCGGCATGCTGTTTGCCTGACATGTGGGGTCCACTAATGAAAGCACACTTGAAGCTTGATAGGGCAAGAATTATGCTCATATAAGCTTGCTCAGTTGAAGGGGTAGTCACCATCGTCCAGTTCTCAGGTCCAATGTATTCATAGCCATATGGCAATTGAGTCCTCAGAATATCAACACAGACAGACTGATCCTCTTGAGATGGAAGTAAATCAGAAGTCGTTGCATTGGGATTTGGGATGATGTAATATTTCATAAGCTTGTGCCATTCAAAAGAGGACTCCAAATTTCCTTTTACTTCAACAAGCCTATCGGTTTGGTCAGAGTGCTTCATGGTTAGCACAACCAAGACACGCAGAGCTGTCAAAGCACGTATGGATGGTTTCTCATTTGAATTTGCCGCTTGTTCTTTTATAAGCTGGCACAAATACTGCAGTTTTGCTGCATTTTGGGACTTGATTTTCATCCACATGCCAGTAGTAGTAAAATGTGATGACTTCTGGACCATACTACACCACAAAACCTCCTCTGCCACCAAAATGGATTGCAAAGGAAACTGAGATATTAGATTCAAAAGAGAAGGAGGATCATGGGCTACTTCTGAAATGTTCCCCTTGCTATTCCCAATCAGGTTTGGGGTGCCTGGAAGTTTTTCGGGCTTTGAATTTTGCTGGACAGCTAAGCATTTCAGAAGTGTCTTTCTCACTGCTTGGTTTAATTTTTGCTCAAAGAGACTAAGCCAAGCCACAGGACTGAGGTTTGACTCAAGAGGACAGACGAAGGGAACGTGTTCACCAAATTCTCCATATACACCATGAACCCACATTCGTTCATTACTTAGAACTGACAAATAATTTTCTCGGCAAATATCACCTTCAACTTGAACCTCAAGCTGCTTCACTCCCTTGAAGCATTTCTTCACCAGAGGTAAAAGGGAGGAAGGTGCTGGGAGCTGTAAAGAGAGAAGTTTCATCACTTCTCCATCACTGAGATAGTAGAGTCTAGGGAACTGGCTTCGTGGTGACTCTAAGATGTAGAGTAAGTGACTGGAAATCTCCTCCATTGTGGTGAGTCCATTCATAAAGGCAGCATATAGACTCTGTCCTTGTAACTGGTCACTGGCCTTTGTTGTTTCACTCATTTGAACAAAACTCGACACATTTGGGTCATTAACTGTAATCTCAATGATTTCACGAAATACCTTATCCACCGGGTGAAACTTCTCGCGCTACAATAGAAGAAAGTTTGATTAGATTTAAAATTGTTTCACTTAAACTGCATTAAACAAACTAAGCATTACATTAAAAACATACCAACTCAGAGTTTTGGGAGTGCATTTCATTGAATGTTCTACTTAAAAAGATCCATTTCTGCTGAAATCGCTCGAATATATCAAGCAATTCATCTGTAGATAAAGGCAAGAGAAAACAAGAAATGAAACATTTCTTAACATCCTCTACTGCGATTGTTGACCCCTATGTTGATCTTATGAATATACCTAGCTTTTGTAAAAGCAGCAGCCAGTGTTCAACCTCTTTCTGAAACTCAGCAACATGTGGTGAACGCAGCATATCAGAAAATGTCAGAACACTTTCCTTAGTCTGAGCCAAAAGCGTCTCTAAACCTAAACAGAAAAATGAGGAAAAAGATACTTCTATAAGCATCTTTTTAAAGGTACATCTGTATTAATAGTTGGGATTAATTGTTTATATGGGAGTCTATTGCTTACCAATAATAGTGAAGGTTCCACCATCACTAATGTGATGCTTTGGTGCATTTTGAGGTTTCTCCTTTACATCATCTAGTGGAGGACTTTGCTGTTCCTGGACAGTAATGATGAACCTGGTATGATGGAATTCTGCCACTTCCCATTGTCTCTGAAGTGCTCTGAATGTCTGTTCCATGTCTGCCTCAGCTTTGGCATCTAGATAGATCTGGAACCAGATGCACATCCACACCCCTTAGCTTATAATGATCGAAAAGCAGTTTATGTTAAGTCTTCACATTGGCCCTCATTTATCAAAAGTGCGAACACCAAATTTCCAGCGCACACCTGGCGTACACCCAAAACCACGGTGACTTTGAGATTTATCAATATGGACGTTGGCGTACGGCACTCAAATCCTGGAGGTGGTGTACGCACGTTTTGAGTTAAGGCCATTGCACACTGAGTACAAAATTTTCGTATGCGTTTTTTCGTGTTCGTCAGCCTAAAAATTTGTCACGCACAGAAACCTTGCACACTGAGTCCGATGCGTATTTATTAAACCTTTGCAGGAAAAAACGCAAAAATACAAAATGGATTCGTCAAGCAGTGAGGATGATTTTGTTGTCCTCTCTCTTATTGAAAAGAAAAGAAAGAGAAAATATTACGTCCATACAATCCTGAAATTGCACCGAGAGGAAGCACCTCCTTATCAAGGAGTTGCGAATTTATCCCGAGCGATTCAAAATTTACCTCAGAATGTCAGTGGAACAGTTTGATGCTTTGCTTGAGATTCTGGAGCCACATTTTAAAAACAAGACCACCAATTTCCGTGAACCAATCGATTCTGAACAGAGACTGTCAGTATGTCTAAGGTATGGATACACACACGCACACGGACGCGCGCGGCCCGGTGGAAGCGCTGGGCAGACAGAACAGCTGTATAGGCTACAGGTTATATATTGTACCCAAATAATACATTAGTTATCGAATTGGCTGCTCAATCACACATTAATCGATCCGAAATTTCAATCTGATTGAAAGGGGAGGTTATTCCTTTCATAATCCAATCGAGAGAAGAGAACATAAACACTTGATCGAATTGAAAACTGAAACTGAAAATGTGCAATGATGTGCGGAACGAGCTCCATAGACAGTAACGAGCTCCCCCCAGCCCCGAATTGTCGGAAAAACCTCTCAAAATGCTGGCTGTGGATGCGGAAAACGCAGAAAATCGAACCCGATCCGAATTTTTGGCGGACGAAAGTTTCGGAGGCGGTGTGCAAGCGTGATTGACATAACGTGAGGCCGAATTTTTTTTTTTAACGTGCGGAAATTTTGGATGTGAATTTCGGACTCAGTGTGCAATGGCCTTTAGTGCGGAAATGCACAGAAAAACAATTCCTAACACCACAAAATGCACTGACAAACTAAGGCCATGTCCACACGGACACGGGTATTTTTATAACCGTGACTTTTTTAACGCGGTTCGGCTGTTCGTCCACACGGAAACGCAGTATCAGGACACTGAAACCGAACATTTTTGAAAACCCCTGCCAGGGTGAGTATTTTCTGAAACGCCGGTTGCAGTGTTGTCGTGTAGACAGTGAAACCGGAGTTTTTGCAGTGCTGATCGCTTCTGATTGGCTAACGTGGCTTTACGGTTAGGTTTATATCGCCGCCTGCTGGTGTTGCATGCTCTTGACAGCGCTTGATAGCGTGTTTTTGCATTTTCATGTGGACAGAGGTTTTTTTTAAACGCAGGAGGGAAAAACTCCGGTTATAAAAATACCCGTGTCCGTGTGGACAAGGCCTAAAAGATATGATATATTATGACCCACTGTAAAACCCAATACATGTGACGTGATTCGAAATTGAATGCTAATTGTTTCAAAAGACGTGCTGTAAAATAATGCATTGTGATAGGTCATTTCGGCTGCACGTCAGAGAAGTTTCTCTTCTTTGCCGTCGTCTGTGTGTCCATGGCATAAAATGAGGGCGTGGGAGGAGCGGAGACTTGAATATATAGGGGCGTGCTATTCTAATGACGATCGTTTTTTAAGCCGTGGGAGTTATCAAGGGCAGGCCTGGATTTCAAAAGTATGCACAGCTTCATAAATCAGGCGGTGAGAGGAGTGTAAGCATAATCTCACGCCAACATATACGCCCGTTTCTAAGCAAGAATGATAAATGAGGGTCATTACATTTACCAGTATAAACAAATGTTACTAAACCTTGTTGATTTTATTTTGATCCCTCAGTAGCTCTTTGGACATGAGATCAGCCACCGTTACTTTCAATTCCTGGTCATACGGCAGACCAACTCCTACAGAAATGGAATGTATGGTTGGTTCTTTATATGTATATATCTTTATATATATATATATATATATATATATATATATGAATGATATTACAGGTTCCTACTAATTAAAAACTATTAAAAACTGACCTGACACTTGACACTTACCCTTTGAGATGTTTCTCCAGTGCTTTTGCTTCAGTGTGGGGCTACTCAGCTTACTCAATACAGAGAGTAGCTGGCTGAACCCCTGCAAAATTTGTAGGGTTTTCTGTAGCAAAGGATCATGGGAGGGTATAACTTTTGCAAATGCCTCTGCCTGTTGTAGCCATTCATTAACCTTGTCTTGGGTTTTAGCAACCACAAACTGCAAAGATGCAAATGCAGGAGAATTTATATAAATGCAGGATCAAATGAACTGTTTGGTGTTAATAACTACATACCTTCCTGAACTTTAGCAGCTTCCACTCTTGGATTTTTGAGGACGACATGCTCATTAGCTCCCAGAGCCCTCTCCTTGCTTCAATATTCTGCTGTGCTACAGTCACAAAAGTGAGATCCAGTAGGTGACCTGAAAGAATAAACGAAACCCCTGACATGAAACCATTGCATTAAAACTACTGGAAGAGATGTGTTTAAGATCCTGAGCACATTATCTTATCATACCTCTCAGAATTTCACTGGCTCTGCTCTGATCTTTCAACTGCTCAGCAATCATATAAAATTGACTGCACAACGGTTTCAGCTGGTCAAGCATTTCTTTGCCATTCTGGTCAGGGTCGAGATATAGTCCGGAGGTGGCTCTGGAAACCAGGCTGTCTAATTTGTTCACTAATGAGGAAACATTACTGTCCAGTGTATCAAGCATAGACGGAAGCTGCTGGGACACTGTGTCTGCAGCTTGTTTCAGGAGTGGAACAAATTGATTCCACAAGTCATCAACCTGCAGAAATAGTTGGTTGTTAGATTTTGCAACTCAGGGAAATCAGTTAAATACAGTAAATGACATATTTTTACATGTACCTGCTTCAATGAGAGAGCGTTGTTTGAAGCCATATGAATATAATTCCTTCTCGCAGTTTCTTGTAGAGAGTGGAGGTCTTCCAGCCTCTGCTGCATATCTCCTGACATTCTCTCACTGCGCTTTACCTGCATAAACATAATGTTGAACATAATGTTGAATGATTACTCCACAGTTTACACTGATTGAGCAGTACGACACACCAGTATGTCAAAGTTAATACCATGTTTGAAAAAACTGTAAACTTGTGAAAAGTATTTGGCTCAGACTCCATGACTTCCACAGCTCTTTTCAGCTGAGAAGTGAGATTCTCAGAGCGTATCTGCAGATCTTCACACAGTAGCTTTAGCACATCCTCGTCAATGGTGATTAAGGTGGAGCCTTAACACAAAAACAGGACAAGAAATTAACATATATATGCCTGCCATAATCGCTTTGTTTTTTTAACTGTATAGACAAACACTTCTATATAGAAAAATCCCACTCATTTTCTTCATTGAGAAATAGACTTTTAGCAATAACATATAAACCATTTGAGACAAACCTACCATGAGCTCTGAGGATGTTAAGAAATGGTATATGCTTCTATACATACCAACCATAATACTAAGCACTCGCAATGAATCCTAGGATTGACTAATGTAACAGCTGTAACTACATCATTCATCTAGCTGTTTTATCATTACTTAAAGGGGTGATGAACTGAGAAATCAAATTTTCCTTGAGCTTTTGACATCTAAGAGGTCATCATATTATATACTGTAAGTTTCAGAACTGAAAACGCCCTTGTTAGTCCAATAAAAGCTTAAATTGACACCAGCCTCAGCAAACGATTTGTTTTTCAAAGTGGGGAACTATGACGTCAAAGAGGATAAAACACCACCCCCGCAGAAGAAGATCAACTCCTACTTCAACACGGCCGGTTTAGCCCCGCCCACCGATTCGCGCATTACACGCATAGCTAAATAACATAGATGCCTACCTCGTGATGACAAACTGAATCGAGCTACCGAGCAATACAAAATATTGAGCAGTGCCTGGTTTTGGAAGAAGACAGTCGCAGCATAAGCTTCCTCTGGATTCCAACAGGACTGCATGGATCAACTTTACTTTTGATGACGTTCCAGCTGATGAGGGTAAAACATTGTCCATTTGTTCGCTTCATTTCACTGAGGATTGTTTTGTAAACAAGACTGGATTTGCAGACTGATTAAGATTAAAGAACGGTGCTGTGCCGTCTATATTGGATATATTGGATTATGCAACACACGGACTCTGGGTCAAATCATTCCGGTTGCCATTTTACAACATTGGACGTTTTCAAAATAATTTCCCCCAAGTGCATCGACAGGTAAGTCGAAACTCATTATAATATGCAAAACTGTTATCCACTCACAGCAGTGGGCGTTTACTTCCAAGTCTTCAGTGCGAGACGCCCATAAAAACCGAGCGTTTTTCAGGTAGGCTCAAAACTAGGGTACAAAATAGCCTATTACTTATTCATTTGGATGTTTTTGAATGCAAAAACCAAGCGAACGTCATAAGTTGACCTCATACAACAATATAATAATATTTAAAAAGCCAGTTCATGACCGCTTTAACAAAAAATGATGCACAAATTTCATTATATTATTGTAGATGTTTTGCAAATGTCTATGATGCAGTAGGCATCTCAATTTGGTGAAAAGAGAAAAAAAAAGAAAACATATAATTGGAATTTAGACACTTGGAAACACACCGATATCCTTTTGGATGTTGGAGAACTCGACAACGAACAACTTATTTGATGTAGTAAAGAGCTGAGGAATGCTGTGAACTTTGTCCATCCAAAAATGAAGTTTCTTGATTAGCTCCTCATATTTCAGCGGGGAACATCCACGCAAGGTCTCTAGAGAGGCTGAACCCCACTGCCTGGCAAACAGATGAACACCTATCAACCAAGAGCGGCTCTCACACTGCTGGTGCACCTCTGCAATGGCGTCCTGCACAAGAGAATCAAGGAATCAGAAGTGCGGTGTTTGTTTTGTGGAGTGGTAAAGCATCTGGACATATTTGCACTCTTTTAGGCATGGAATTTATTTGAATTTAAAGCATACACAATGTCAAGTTATAAAAGTAAGAATACCTGTGCAATCTTTTCCATCTCATTCTGAATCTCTTGTGCTCCGATGTGAGCTTTTAAGTTCCACTCCAGCAGTCTCTGTGACAGAGGCTGATAATGGCCTTGCACTCTTTGTGCCTGAACTCTGAGAGAGTTCATTTTGACTGGCACTACAGTTTGGGGTGACATTTCATGCTTCATTTGGGAGGAAACACTGTAAGGATCTGTTACTTCACAACCTTTGGCTTTAAATTCTGAAAAGAGAATGTTAAATATGATAATGTTATGTTACATTCGTCATACATGCTGATTGTTATTAAAGAATAATGTTTTTTTTTATTTATTTTTTTATTTAATGGTACATGCTCTGCTGAGTACCTGAAATGAGGTCTTCAACACAACTGTTGGGAAAACAGCCTTTAGAGTCACATGGCAAACTGCAGGAGTCAAATACCTGTGTGGATCACATCACCAGTTTAGCACACCCTTGTGAAAAAGAAGTGTGCTTAATAAATTATACTTGCAGATAATATATTAATAAAAGGGCACTTAAATTTTAAAATTAAAATTCTGTCATTACATCCAAAAACCATAAGACCTTCGTTCATCTTCTCGTCTCTTCATAAAATTAAGACTGAACCACTGTAGTCACATGGACTATTTTAACAATGTCTTTACTACCTTTCTGGGCCTTGAAAGTGGTTATTACATTGCAGTCTATGGGGGTCAAGCTCTAAGATTCAATCAAAAATATCTTAATTTGTGTTCCGAAAATGAACGAAGGACTTACAGGTTTGGAACGACATGAGGGTGAGTAATTAATGATAGAATTTCATTTTTGGGTGAACTAACCATTTAAGTGTACTTAAAGAGAGTAAACTTTCAAGAAGTTTCTTAACACACTCACTTTTAAAAAAGTATATTTTTGTTTACCTTAAATCAGTGTTTCTCAACACATTTCCAAGGGGGCCTCAACATGACTTAAAATTATTTTTAATAAAATAAAACAAGCAGGATGTACTGCTTGTACTGTCTATGGCAAGCGACGAAGTTACGACGTCACTGTAGGCCAAAACGCGGAAGCGAGTTAGCATTTTAGCACTACCGGTTCCCTCGCTCTAAAGTCTATGGGATTTTTGAATGGGTTTTTACTAAATCGCCTGAAATAAGGTCTGTGGTGAACAAAGCCTCAAATATTTTCACGTTTTGATCTATGACACAGAACACACAGTTATAACCTGCTTGTGTTTTTTTAAACTTTATTGTGTCTGCTTGTGTTTTTAAAAAACTTTATATAGGCTTCAAAATGTATAAATTTTAGATTAACTTGTAAAGATTATCTTGATAGGTAAAATGTGTAAGGGTCACAACTCTTTGTTAAACACAGATCTTATTTTTTGTGATTTTCCAAATGTCTATGGGGAAAATGTATAGCTTTTCGATCGAAGGAACCCATGCGCCGCTAGCTTCCGAGTTGTCCTACAAAGTGACGTCATCACTTCAGGACTCTATTGCTGTGGACAATGGAGGCCCATGAAGTAAAAAAAGTTGACATCCACTGCCTTAAATGCTTATTAGTATATTCGGTAGTGCACTTTAACCATATTCTATAGACATAATTATGAACTAAAGATGTACTGTACATACATCCTATTTAAGTGGGGCAAAAAACCCTCTAAATTCAGCTAATTGGCTTTATACACAGCTGCACTACTTCCTGAACTTCAGCCAGCTCCTTGTTTCCTGTCTGCCATTATTGGACACACTTGATTAATACAGGTGTGCCTGATTATTGTTGTTGTGACTACTGAGGTCAGGCACACCTGGATTAATCAGTTTGTCCAATAATGGAAGACAGGAAACAAGGAGCTGGCTGAAGTTCAGGAAGTAGTGCAGCTGTGCATGAAGCATTTGATATAAGTTTAAACTACAATACATTTTCATTGAATGGGCTGCTATATGCAGGCATAAGTTCCACATTTGATGCAAGGATGCTCTTCAGTTTCCGGTTGGGGAGATTTAAAGCGGAGGAAAACCGAGTAAAACGGGATTATGGCAGGGTCTTCCAAATTTACTGTCCTCCCGTCTTTGAAACGAAACTTTAATACGTTTAGATGTAATTTTATATATAGTTATGTTTATTTAATATAATTTTAAAAAGAAGCATAAACACAACGAGGGGTGTCTGTTTTGTCTGTTTTTGTGACTAACGTTTCTTTAGTATAACCATAGAGTATAAAATCCAATACAAATTCTCGGTACAGCATTGGACTCTACGATCGGCGGAAGTAATCCAGCATCCTTAGACCTTCACCGGAAATACCGCCGTACATAGAGCCCATTGTTAATTAACTGTACGAAAATATTACATTCAGTTGACCCTAAAGAATATTCTAATAAAGTATATCATTTTAAGCACTTCTTTTTTACATGGGTAAATATTACATCAATGTGGTGAAAATAGTCCTTATTTGTAGCAGTATACTAATACAAATAAAATGAACACTGCTACCACAAAGGTAACAGATAAATTAATAAGAATGGGTAAAAAAACATTTGCAAAATGACAATAAGTGTAAAATATGAGTTTTTTCCGCATGATAGCATTAACAGCTGGTGACATCTCACCCGCAGGACAGAGTCTGCTACTGATAGCACCGCTCCAAGCAAAACCTCTTGAAATAAGTGCAATGGAGGAAAAACAGTAAGCTGATCATCTGCTCCAAATACAATCTCTGCCTGAAAGAGACAACCCAGTTGCTCCCGTTCTCTCTGGAAGGTTTAAAAGAGAGAACATTTGTATTAGATTACATTAAAAAAACAGACATTTCTTCCTCAAATCAAATCAAATTCAGAATTAAATCCTTGTCACATACTTTTAAAACATTGTTTAGGAATGCTGTGATCTCACGCTTTGAGATGGTGATGAGGTTTTGAATAGTCATGTGGTCAGCTAAAGAAGCGAGGTTTCCCAGCGACTGTATGTCCTGCTCTGCCTTACTGAGTTCTTTCTGTAGGGTTTTAAAGTATGTGAGCTGAAGGTGTAGGGATGGACTGTTCTGGTAGAGCTTTGTGTGTTCCACTCTCATCTGGAGCTCCTGACGTGCTTGGTAACTCTTATCCTTCACCTACAAGTAAATAATGATTTTGTATATTTATTACATTAGACAGGTATAGTTCACCCAAAAATGAAAATTTTGTATGTATTTACTCACCCTAGTGTGACGTGTCGTTACAAACCCATCAGACTTTCTTCATCTTTAGAACACAAATGAAGATATTTTTGATGAAATCTAATAAGAGATTTCTGTCCCTCCATTGACAGTCTAGCTAACTACCGAAGTTTCATAAGGAGATTGTAAAACTAATCCAAATGAATCAGGAAGTTTAGTCTAAATTTATATTGATAAATGTTTATAAGTGAATAAAAGTTTAATTTAAATCTGTTCATCATATAAAGCAATCATGTCTCTTCAGAAAATTTGGACTAAACCGCTCAGTTCACATAGCTTAGTTTTTTAACTTTTTGAAGTGGTAGTTGCGTACACTGTCAATGGAGGGATGAAAATCTCTCAGATTTCATTAAAATTATCCTTCATTTGTGTTTCCAAGACAAAAGTCAGGTTTGGAATGACATGAGGATGAGCAATTAATGACAGAAATTGTATTTTTGGTTGAACTGAAATGAAATAAAGGCATGTTTACGCCAAGAACGATAACTATTCTATAATGATAATTATATTCCACACCAAAGCACGATATTGTTATATTTATTCTCAGCATTTGCTGCAGTTATGTCATCTACTGTTTTAAATGCTCAAGCTCTTTAGAGCAGGATGGATTCTGACTGGCTGTCACTGTTTTTATCAATCATCAGATGGGAAAAAATAATCAGCTGAAAGTGATAACGATATAGTTGTCATCTTTATAGTTGTGGTGTGGATGTGATTTTTAGAACTATATCTTCATTGTTATAGTCCTTGACGTGAATGGGCCTTAAAGGAGTAGTTCACTTTTTTTTAAAAAACTGATAATTTACTCTAAATTACTTACTCTTACTTTAAAGAAATTAAGATTTTTGATGAAAACATTCCAGGATTTTCTCCATATAATGGACATCATTGGGAACCAAATGGTTCAAGGTCCAAATGCGAGTTTCAGTGCAGCTTCAAGGGCTTTAAACGACACCAGACGATGAATAAGGGTCTTATCTAGGATTTGTTCATTTTGATGAACGAGTTTGTCACGAATGCTCATCACAGAACAGAGCAAGGCAAGCATTTGTGCTTATAAAACTTTTTTAAATTATTTTTTAAATGACTGATCGTTTCGCTTGATAAGACCCTTATTCATCGTCTGGAATCATTTAAAGCCCTTTGAACAGTTTTCAGTTTGCACTGAAACTGTCTTTTGGACCTTAAACCATTTGGTTCCCATTGAAGTCCATTATATGGAGAAAATCCTGGAATGTTTTCATCAAAAACCTTAATTTCTTTTCGACTTAAGAAAGAAAGAACATGGACATCTTGGATGACATGGGGGTGAGTAAATTATCAGCAAAAGTTTTTTTTTTAAAGTGAACTACTCCTTTAACACAAATGGTTCTAAAGAATGTCCTATGACAGGCTAGTTAAGTTAAGGTTTTGAATGTCACGAGGAAGAGCAAATTAGTGAAGTGCAACTGTTGTACCATACCACATCAAGTACTGCAGCACGACAATGTAGAAAACCATGTATAGAAACTTGAGCCGTCTGATTCTTTTCCAGAAGTGCACTTTGGAAATCTAGGAGTGTGTAAGTCCTTGAATCATCTTGTGGCAGCCAATTGACTTGCTTTAGCTCTTCAATTAATCTAGGAGAAAAACAAAATGCGAATATTATAGCAACACAAATCTTTAATTGATTTCAATTTTACTTTTAATATGTCTTGGGGGGAAAAAAAAACCTGGAGATATGTAGTAAGGCATCCCTGAACTGGGGCACTGCTATCAGCAGCTGAGACGGAAGGAAGTCAATCCTGCGTTCGACAGTAACCTTGTGTGCATTTCTGTGCCATCTGAAAAAGTTGTCAAGTATACAGTTAGATAACTGCTTTTATAAAGATCTGTATAATCAGACATTCCAAAGTTAACAAAACATTAAAGGGTTAGTTCACCCAAAAATTAAACTTCTGTCAATAATTATTCATCCTAAAGTCATTCCAAACCAGTTATGAAATCTGAGACATTTCCGTCCCTCCATTGACAGCTTCGCAACTACCACTTTGACACTTTAAAAAGTTCATAAAGAAATCGTAACACAAATTTATATGAATTGAGCGTTTTAGTCCAATTTTTTTGGAGACTCGATTGCTTTAAATGAAGAACAGAAAAATGAGAGAGAAAAAAATGCGTTTTCAAACGAAAACGTATTAGTGTGGACAAGACCTTAATTTAGGCTTATATTCACATTTAGGCCGTGTGTCCATCAAAGCGTTTTTAGCCACTTGAAAACGCTAGACGCTCTGCTGAAGATGCCGTGCAATGGGCGCTTGAGAGCGTTTTGGCAGCGCAGCGTTTTTTCCGTTGAGATGTTTTGTTGCTATGATACAGAATATCTGCAGCAGTTTGAATGTTGACAGTTGGTCGGTGTGGTATTAGTCCCGCCCCTCCTCCACTGTGATTGGATGGCTGGGTAAAAAGTGACAGTGATGAGTGCTGCGTTTTATCCAAAGTTGAACATTTTTCAACTCCCAGCGACCAGTAAAAACGCCGGGCGCTCTGCGCTTCAGTGCGAAAAAAACGCTCAGCGCCTCGGTACGCTCATGGCGTTTAAAAAACGCGGCGCTCCCATTGAAAACAATTGAAAACATACGCCAGGCACGTGTAAAAACGCTTTGGTGGACACACATGAGCGTCCCGAGGCGCTGAGCGTTTTTTTCACGCTGAAGCGCCGAGCGCCCGGCGTTTTTACTGGTCGCCGGGAGTTGAAAAATGTTATGTTATGTTTTGGCAGCGCAGCGTTTTTTTTCTGTTGAGACGTTTCGTTGCTCTGATACAGAATATATGCAGCAGTTTGAATGTTGTGACAGTTGGTCGGTGTGGTTTTTCCCGCCCCTCCTCCACTGTGATTGGACGGCTGGGTAAAATGTGACAGTGATGAGCGCTGCGTTTTATCCAAAGTTGAACATTTTTAAACTCCCAGCGACCAGTAAAACCGCTGGGCGCTCGGTGCTTCATCGTGAAAAAAAACGCTCAGCGCCTCGGTACGCCGATGGCGTTTAAAAAACGCGGCGCTCCCATTGAAAACAAACGCCAGGAGCGTGGAAAAACGGCCTTTGGTGGACACACGGCCTTAAACTTTGATCAGTGAACATAAACAAAAGCTCAACCGAACACGCGAGAACAAACCTCAATGGTTCTTGTGGAAACTTAAATGTGCTGAATAACACGAGAATGAACCTCATTGGTTCTCGCATGTCAAGCGAACATGCCTGAGCTTCCACAACTGATGTGTGAGTTGATGAAAGTTTATGTGAATAAAAAAATGAATTCATCATATAAAGCAGTTGTAATTTGTTTTACAATCACTCTATGGACTTTTTGAAGCTTCAAGGTGGTAGTTGCGTAGACTGTCAATGGAGGGACAGAAATATCTCATATTTTATCAAAAAGATCTTAATTTGTGTTAATGAAAGAATTTTCATTTTTGGGTGAACTATCCCTTTAAGACTAAATTTAAGTCACCGTTTGAAGGTCTTGCGCAGTAAAAAATCTCTGATACATGGGATTTCTCTCAAAGCTCCGCAAAGCACAGACTCTCGATACCACTCTGCCAGGGTCCAGATTTCAACGCAGAAGCCGTCCTGCATATGTGTTATAATTGTGGGGGAGAAGGTGTGGTAATCTGCACCCACTGCACTGCGGGAGACCACTCGCAAGTCATATGGTCTGATAAAAAAGCGCATATAGTTATATCAAACTAAAATATTCTACTGCAGAAAAATACATTTCAAATAGAATAATGACTGGCACCTGTAAGGACCATCATCAGAAGCCTTCAAATAGTAAAATTCATGTTCTCCCAGATGCTTTTTCTTGGCTAATATCTCAACAACCTCAGCTCCAGTGAGTGGTTTGTATTTGGGTTTGCATACTTTCCCTGTTTTAGTGTTTTTCTTTGGGACGCTTGGAAAAACAGACAAACTAGTTACAATCTTCAAAGCAAAACAGAGAATAAGTGAATCAATGGAATGATTCGGGAATGGTCAACTTACCTGAATTGTTCGACACTTGAGTGTTGAGTTTCTGTGACAGGAGTCACGAAACGGGGTCCTTCGTTCCACACAGTCTCTCTGACTGCCAGTCCAATGCCCATCTGTGATACCAGTTGAGGTAGTTTAACAACAGACGGATCATTTTGCGGCGGAGACAAGGTCCTAAAACTGAGGGTGCGAAAAGGTGAGGGTTCTCGCTTAAATGCTGGTGTGGCAGAAAGAGATTGACGACTTAGCAGTCGAGGCTGAGAATCTGCAGGTTCAAAACTACAGTCTGATGAGCAGTCAGACTTGTTTCCTCTTTTGGTTTGGGTGAGCGCAGGTCTTGCAAAGCCATTTCCTTGAGGTTCTCTCTTCGGTGATGACATTACTGACATTGAACTTCTGAGGAAGTCTTCTTCAAGCCCATCTTCTGAAAAAACAATCACTGTTTTATGTTGTCCTAGCAACATGAATCAAATAGCAGTATCCAAATAATGAGCACAGATCAGTTTACACTGACCACTAATACTGCATTATTAATTTCCATGACTACAGTATAATTAGCCTAGTAAGTTATGTACTGTAGGCCCAAAGTAGCCTACTTTTTAGAGAAAATTGAAATTTGTCTAAACTAATTAAAATGGTGTAGTTGTTGGAACTCGAATCCTTGCGAAATTTAACTATGCATGCTTTACTACATTAAAAACAAAAAAAACCATGGTTAATATAGTTAAACCATGGTATTTGTAGTAAAACTGTGGTTTGGTAATCAATTTTCAATTCAATTCAATTCAAAGGGGATATATATATATATATATATATATATATATATATATATATATATATATATATACTGTATATATATATATATATATATATTTCACACAATGTTTGGATATTTGTGTGTGTGTGTGTGTTGTGTGTCGGCCACTCATCACTGCCCGGATAAGTTTTGTCTCATTCTCCCAGGAGGAAGTTTAATTTAGAAATGTCATTCAGGTCTTTGAAATATGGGATTATATAGTTAGATTTGTTGCTTTAATAGAAATATATAAGCTATTATTCGGTGATTTTCAAAGTTTAAAGAAGGCCTAACGTTACCGTGTGTTTGCTTAACGAGAAAAAAAATCGCAAAGTAGCCTAAATATATACCAAAAGTTGGTTGGTCAGACAAAAACATAACAACTCTGCTGTTTAGCCGGAGTTGTAAAGAAAAATAAACATTCAACATCATTTAAATATAAATGCATAGTGAAGTAAATTTGTCCTACCTGAGCTCAAATCTCAGCGCATCGGTTAGTAAGCAGGTCTCGTTCCCTTGGGAACAGCCCCAAACTCGCTACTCGGTCTATGGACGGACGGTTACAATACAATTATTTTGCAAATAAACTATCATGTACGAATATAAACTGATTTATACAGCCCCATCGGAAAACCTCATTTAAAGGAACCTTGGAGTCAATCTGTTAGAATGATAACGCGTGCTTATGCTAAAGCACATTAGTAAAACATTAGGATTGGCTAAATAAATAATATTAATAAATATTATTTGTACAATGGTAACGTTAGAGTCAAAAGGCTCACCCCTCACCGTAGTGTAGGCTAGTTGCAGACAGTTATTATCCCTATGGGAAATATTCCTAGCCGGGTTTAGGCGTTTGGTCAGAGACTGATTTACCATGGTATCCATCAAACAAGTGACATAATATAATGCATAAATATTTATTTTAGCCATTGTGGTCAATTTCACACGGGATTTATCTGTGAAGGCCTGTGGTGTCTGTTCCATTAAGCTTATTGACCGGTATTTTAGATGGATTAATAGATGGACTGTCCTTTATATGCTACTGTGGTTTAAGCTTTCATTTGTACACCCATCTATCTTGCAGAAAATGAACCTCTACAGAAAAGTATGCTAACCACATTGTTTTATTAATGCAGTTGTGCATCCAAATGACCTGAATTCTTAAAATATAAACATTTGAATAAAAAATAAATTAACCCAGATGTGAATATCACAAGCCATTCTTTATGTGTTTTCTGTTAGAGACCAATATTCTGATGGGCTATGAACATGCAAATCAGTGGCATAAGTGATGTTCTGAAATGAGCAGGGAAAGCTCTCCGTTTTTTTTTTTTAATAAATCAAATGTAAATTCATGTCCCAGTTAAACTTAATATAGTCACATTTTCCAGGTTAAGTAAACATAACATCAAAAAAGAAAGAAAGAAAAAGAAACCAAATACAATTCTATTTTTTGTATTGTTCAATTTATTAGTAGGTTAAATCTCATAAAACAGCATTCACAGACACAGAGATGTATCTTTAACTTCTGTTTTAAAGAAAGCTGTTTACCTGTCATCAAGTTTTCAGGTCATATCAAGTTTTGATTTTGACATGACAAAACAGTAATATCTGAGTTGGTTACTTTTTTATTACTCTTCCCATAATGCCATCACTTGAGACTGGGATGTATCATAAAATCCAATCATATCATAATGGAGAAAATTGCCTCCTCTCATGTGACTTATATTAATTCTCAATTACCCCCACTAAACCCTCTGCACACGTTAAAGGGACTGTTAAAACTCAATGGGCCCAGGGCAAGCACGAGACGAGGCGTCCCGCTGTATCTTTACCTAGTGTTACTGTTGGAAAAGAGTGACTTATACACTTTTTCAATGTAATATGATATCTGTATTGTTTTATTTTTATAAAACGGATTGGATTTATACAATGGCACTGCCTCCATTGTAAAATGCTTTGATAAAAATGTATTTCACAAATTCATCATCATGTACATTTTTTTTAATACCCAAAAACTGTATTAATGTTTGAACACACTAAACAAAATTCCAAATAACAGTATAAAAAAAAAGAAGACAGTAGATTTGTCAGAATTCAGTCATTTTCTTATGCGTGTCCGCTTTCTTTTGCTCTCTCTGAATGGACTGTTCCTGAGCCTTAAGCTGCTCCAGCAACTTGTGGGAAGCAGCAAGCTTCTCCTCCATTCGACTGACCAATTTAGCATCCCTGAGGACAAAGAGAAAGGAAAGAAACTGAGAAAGAGACTAGTGCTAAAATAACAGTGAGTGTTGGGGAATAAAACTGAAAGCAGCAATACAGCTAACTTCACTTTTTCAGTGGTGTGACAATGGGTAATTAACAACAGGTAATCAAACATGCTCTTCAAAAAACAAAATTCTGATTCATTTTAGTGGATCGGTTTGCTCAAACATAGATTGTATAGCTGTTTGAGTTTAATGATTCAATTAATGATCATTTAAATGATTCAATAAAAAAGTCAAATTAATCAAATTGGTTCGTATGAACAACTTATTTAAATGATCTAAATTCAAAAATTAGTCACCAGAAAGTCTGAGGCTGCATCTGAAATTGCATACTTCCATACTGTAGAGTAGGAAAAAGTAGTATGTGACAAAACTGTCCAATACCAATACTATATGTTTTGAGTGTGCAAACGTGTTACTGAGAAACCATGTGCAAATTCATAAGTCATTAACATTGCTGAGTATTTTCTCTTTAAAACTGCAGTGATTCAAAGACGCTACCTTGTAACCAATCATCATTGATCGTCAACGAGTGCATATCTGAGCTGGTGTGAGTGGAGGCGGGGCTAATTTGCACATTCATAGAACCGCTTATACTAAATGAGGCAAGGGTGTAGAGTTAGCCTACATTCAGAATCAGATCAAAGATGAGTTTTAAGGGATACAATTATTGACTACATGGAGACTTTAAATTTAAGAAATGAGTCGTCAAAGAGTCATAAAATAGATTTATTTAATTTATTAATTGGGAAAACTCATCGAAATGGTCTACATTAAAAAAATAGTTATCAGAAAGTCTGATTCAGCCAATCAGTTTGTTCCAGATCATTTAAATAATTTAAATTCAGTTTAAAGCTGCTGTTAATCACTATTTTCAACTCAATCATATAAATAATGGTGATTTGGAATTATTTAAAGGGACTATGTGTACCTTTTTTTTATGTAATTTATTATTTAAAATCAACATTATTATTCATAAATATGTCCTCAATAGTGTACAACTACCTCTGCCAATTATCTGACTTGTCCTCGTAAATGAAGAATTTATTATCTTAATATACATGGGACCATATATATCTATATAAAGGCTAGATATGTCGTCCACGCTGCTGGCCAATGTAGGTCGACGTCTGCACCTGGCGGCCATCTCGTCACAGGCAGCTCGCTCACTCGTAATATTGTGTTAATGGTACATGTACTATTTAAATGACCATAACTTGCTCAATTTTCTACCAATTTTCAAACGGTTTGTTTTGTTATAAACGTCAGAGATGGAGTTATGACACTGCATACTTATGAATAAAGTGTATAAATAATCATCCAGATAATTATAGCCACGTTAATAGCGTTTGTAAGAAACCAAACCGTTTGTAAATCCGTCAAGATTTCAACGAGATAAGAGTATTTGTGTTCGTGCTGACCACTCATCTTACATCAGCTTGTCTGTGACAAGATGGCCGCCGATGATGACGATGGAAACTCCGCCGTAACACATCTAGCCTTTATATACATATCTATGCATGGGACGGGTAAGTCCACGGAGGTTTCCATGTCATTCTGCCATCTTGAAAAACTATAATAGCAGAGAGGGACATAAAGTACTAGGCCAATGCGATTCCACAACGCGTTTTCGTTCAGAGCCAGAGTGATTTTTCCAGGTGATAGAGCTAATGCAGGAGAAAGAGTTCAAAAGAGAAGCTGTTTCTTCTGGACAAGTAAGTCAATGTTACAGCCTGAATTACAAGCTTTTTTTCATTGTTTGGTTGTGTAGGCCTACTTTATTATATAGACAGATGAAGATTTATAGTTAAAAGTTGATGATGATATCTAATGCACGTAGGCTACTTCATAAAATATAACGAATAAAGAAGGCTTAACTACTTATTACAATAGTTCATGTTTTTCACAGTCAGTAATTAGTTCATTCGTTGTGTCAGGTTGCTGTTTGTTTGAAATAACAAACCCATTCACCCGAAGGAACATTCGACGAAGTGCTAATCATGCCACGGCTTTTTGGTACATAATAGTTGCCGTAGATGCAACGCGCATTTCAAAAATCAAAATACATTTTTACCACTAGATGCCAACAATTCCTACACATAGTCCATTTATATCAAACTAAAGTGATTTGTTTAATTGAAATGAGCAAAAGAATTTGTCCATAAGTCTTCAAGAGCAGACGGTAGTTGAACTGCTTCCGCAACGCTGATAAGGGTAATATTGAGAAAGAAAATGAGGAAAGCATACCTTCCATTTCGTTTTCTAAGAGACTTAGTGAGTTGCTGAATCTCCCTCTCCACTTGAGTGACTTTCT